ATATATATATATATATATATATATATATATATATATATGTATATACACGTAATCGAATCTCAGCAGTTGTTTGTAGGTTGTCAACATGTAATTACAATCGATAATTGCTACGAAATTTCGAGGGGTGTATAAAAATAGAAAATCATGTTACGGAACACTAGACTTGCAAACGTTTTGGAAGTGCTAATTACGTGACTCAACAGTACTCAATGAGTTAACGTGTTTCTTATTCCTCAAGATTTTATTATTACCATTTATTTAAATCCTACGATAAAAGCCTTTGTTACTTTTAAGTATATCCAATTTCAAATCAACTTTGTTCATTCTGTAGCATGTATAAATTTTACTTCCATATACATAGAAACACAATTTATTTTTGGTGTAAAGGATAGCTATTTATATTAAGTTAAGGTGGGATAGTACAATGAGCATATGGAAACATAGTTATAGTCCTACTTTGAAAACAGTTGGAGCCACTCTTCTAACACAAAATGTTCATAGAAAATGTATACATACCTGGTCTGATTATGGAACATATTTACTATACAAACATGCAATTTCCTTAATTTTAAGATTCCCATTTAATTCCAATGAAATTCTAACTTTTATTTCTTCCCATGTACAGCCATTTCTTCCCATATGATGGGATACATGTTCTAGAGATAGCCATTTCTTCCCATGTACCGAGTAAATGTACCACATATGATGCAATACTTTATTTTTAATTAAGAGTCTTGAAAATGGAAAAACTATTTTATTTTTAATTAAAAATTTTGAATCAAGCTTTAAAGATAGAGGAACTCTTAATATAAGGCGCTTCCCTCTTGGACGGATCTCATAAGAAATTTTGCTATGTGAGTCACATAATCAACATTACTTATGTGAGGCTAATTTATTTCTTGACAAGTGGACTCATATTCCTACTTATTTTAAAACATAAATTAAAAGGAAACATTTAAGTCTATTTTTTTTTTCTAATCAGATGCTTAGTAAATAAAAAACAAAAAACATAAGATGCTTAGCTGGTGGATAATAAAAGAAAATTAAAAAGAAAAGAAATTCTTTCATTATATTATTAGGTCTCCTCTTTAATAATTAAAAAAAATGTTAAAATCTTGCATTTAGGATCTATTTTATAGTGAAGAAGAAAACATATACTTTGTACTCAAAGAAAATGGAGGATTTACAATTTGCTGACAATGTGAATTTTGACGGTGAAAGTAAGCTTCAACCCGGACATTATGCAATTTACTAATTTTAAGTGTGCATGTTTTTTTAATTGAAAACTTAATCTAATTTATTTATATGCTGTGTTAATTTTACGAATGTATAGATTGCTCATGCCTTTAAATTTTTACTTGGATCCTAAAATGCAAGATTTTTAATTTAAATTATTTGTTTTATCATGGGAGAGTAGACCTAACAATATAATGAAAGAGCAGGTTTTGTTACTATTTCCCATGGTTGCCGATTTTGAGAGATTTTTCCTATTATAATTTTTTTTATCTCATTAGGAAAAAAAAAAGATTTAAAGCAGGCTTTGATGAGGAAGTCAAAAGGCATTGCTGGGAGAATTTGGATGAGATAGTGCGTGGTATCCCGCATACCGAGAAACTTTTCATAGGAGGAGATTTCAACTGCCACATTGGAGCGACGACTGGGGGGTATGATGATGTGCACGGTGGCTTTAGTTTTGGAGATAGAAACGGAGGAGGAACGTATGTGCTGGACTTTGCTAGAGCATTTGATTTGGTGATAGCAAACTCGGGTTTTTCGAAGAAGAGGGAGCACTTGGTCACCTTCCGGAGTTCGGTGGCTGAGACTCAGATTGATTATTTACTCTGCAAGAAGTCCGATAGAGTCTTTGCACGGATTGCAAGGTCATCCCGAGTGAGAACCTCTCGACCCTTCATAGGCTCCTGGTCATGGACCTTGAGATCACGAGCAAGAGGAGGAAGAGGGCGATGTATAGCCAATATAGGATCAAGTGGGGAGCCTTGACGGAAGTTAAAGCGTAGGAGTTGGGAGTCAAGCTTGTGACTATGGGGGCTTGGAGGAGTAATGGGGACGCAAGCGCTATATGGACCACGACTGCACAGTGTATTAGGGAAGCCACAAGAGAGGTATTAGGGGTCTCAAAGGGTTACTCAGGTGGTCACAAGGGAGACTGGTGGTGGAATAGAGAGGTGCAAGGAAAAGTGGAAACCAAGAAAGCATCGTATCTAAAGCTAGTGGAAAGTGTAGACGAGGAGGAGAATAGGGCAAATAGGGAACATTATAAGTTGGCTAAGAAAGAGGCAAAGCTGGAAGTTACATCGGCCAAGAATGCAACTTTTAGTCGTTTCTATGAGGAACTCGAGGGCCGAGGTGGGGATAAGAGGTTGTTCAGGTTAGCCAAGGTGTGAAAAAGGAAGGCGCGTGACTTGGACCAAGTGAAGTGCATCAAGGACGAAGAAGGTAGAGTTTTGTTAGATGAGAGGCTTATCCGTCGGAAATGGCAGACCTACTTTCATAGTTTCTTGAACGAGGAGGGGGACATGCGCATTATACTTGGTGATTTGGAACTCTCCGGGAGTCGTTGTGACTTTGGGTATTGCAGGCGGAGAAGTTGAGGGGGTTATGCGTAAGATGAGCAGGGTCAAAGCGATCGCGCCAGATGAAATCTCGGTGGAGTTTTGGAAGAGTGCGGGCAAGGCAGGCTTGGAGTGGCTCACTAGGTTATTTAATATAATTTTTAGAACGAAGAAGATGCCCGAAGACTGGGGGTGGAGCACGATGGTTCCTGTATACAAAAACAAGGGTGATATCTAAAATTGCAATAACTATCGGAGTATCAAGCTGCTTAGTCATACTATGAAAGTCTAGGAGAGAGTGGTAGAGCTAAAGGTGAGGATGAGTGTGTCTATTTTCGAGAACCAGTTTGGGTTTATGCCGAGGTGTTCGACAACAGAAGCTATCCACCTTGTTAGGAGATTAGTGGAGCAGCATAGCGAGAGAAAGAAGGACTTGCATATGGTGTTCATCGACTTAGAAAAGGCGTACGATAAAGTACCGAGAGAGATTTTATGGAGATGTTTGGAGGCTAGAGGTGTACATGTTGCCTACATTAGGTTGATTAAGGATATGTATGATGGAATAAAGACCCGAGTGAGGATGGTGGGTGGGGACTCAGACCATTTTTCGGTTATGATGGGGTTGCATCAGGGGTCGGCACTTAGCCCTTTTTGTTTGCTCTGACGATAGACGTACTGACGCGCCACATCCAAGGGGAGGTGTCGTGGTGCATGCTATTTGCAGATGATATTTTATTGATTGATGAGACGCGAGACGGTGTGAACGCGCAATTAGAGGTTTGGAGGCAGACCCTGGAATCTAATGGTTTCAAGTTGAGCAGGACCAAGACAGAATACTTGGAGTGTAAGTTCAGTAGCGAGACTCGAGGAGGGGAAGGGGGGGTGAGACTGGACTCGCAGGTCATCCCTAGGAGAGGTAGTTTTAACTACCTTAGGTACCTTAGGTCTATTATTCAGGGGATGGTGAGATTGATGAAGATGTCACACATCGTATTGGGGCGGGATGGATGAAATGGAGACACGCTTCTGGTGTTTTGTGTGACAAGAAGGTTCCATCGAAATTTAAGGGTAAGGTTTACAGAGTGGTGGTCAGACCAATGATGTTGTATGGGGCTGAGTGTTGGCCAGTCAAGATCGCTCATATCCAGAAGATGAAGGTAGCAGAAATGAGGATGTTAAGATGGATGTGCGGGTACACCATGTTAGATATGATCAGAAATGAGGTTATTCGCGATAAGGTGTGTGTGGCCTCTATTGAGGACAAGATACGGGAAGCGCGGCTTAGGTGGTTTGGTCATGTGAGGAGGAGAAGCACAGACGCCCCGGTGAGGAGGTGTGAGAGGTTGACATTGGAGAGCCTACGGAGAGGTAGAGGTAGGCCAAAAAAGAGGTACAGAGAGGTGATTAGGCAAGACATGGCGCAACTTCAGTTGACCGAGGACATGACCCTTGATAGGAAGGTATGAAGGTCGAGGATTAGGGTGGTAGAGTAGGTAGTCTAGAGTGTTCATAACAGTAGTATTGGGATGCAGTCCCGCTTTCTGTTGGTAGTAGATTTTTATGACTAACCGCTGTTTATTTTCATTGTTGATCACCTTACTATCTTGTTGTTTTTATTCTGCTTTTATATAGTTTTATGGTACTGTCCCTTCGTGTCTATATTTTCATTAATGCAGTGCTTATGCTTTCCTGAGACGAGGGTCTATTAGAAACAGTCTATCTATCCTCGTAAGGTAGGGGTACAATGTGGGATAATACTAATACTGAGCATGTTATTGTAATAAGTAGGAACATGAGTGATGTTGACAATGCAAGTCTGGATTAAAATCTTTGATGGGCACGGCAGATGCTGAATTGCTATAAGAACTCTGTAACAGTTTTGAGTCAAAGGCCAATTCGATTCCCCAATTGGCCAATACAACATCTCCAAAAATACCAAAACAAAAAACATAAATACAGCAAAACGAAAAACAAAGCACAGCTCAAGATAAAAACTCCACTGAAATTAGAATCTAAATCTATATTATATATTATGCCAATTCCCATTTCATTTCATGGGTTCAAAAAGAAGGAATTTGTGCCCACATTTTTATACATACATATAAATTGGCCCGATCTCCCACTTCTTTCCACAAAAAAAAAGAGATACAAAATCATGATAATTATTTATCAATCATCTCTGCTGCTCCATCATAAGGCAAAAGTCGTCGAAGCATACGAACCCATCCCCATTCTTATCGACACCTCTTATCATACGCCGGCAATCCTCTAACGTACACCGTCCGTCACCAATAGTTCTAAACACGTTAAACAACTTTTCCGCCGTTATCTTTCCGTCATGATCGGCGTCAAAGAAATCAAAAACATCTCTCAGCTCGCCGTCACAAGACGGCGGCCCAAACGCCGAGCTAATGGCACCAAATTCCTCTAAGCTAATACATCCATCACCGTCCCTGTCAACTTCATCAAGTAACAGCGTCAGTTCCTCTTTACTCGGCGGCTCGGTTCCGACTCTGCTCAGAATAGCCTCCAGCTCTTCTTTCATTATCTTCCCGTCACCGTCAGTGTCAATCATATGAAAGGCTTGTACCAGTTCGGCGTAAACTTCGGCCGAAATCTCAGACCATTTATCAGCAGAGATTTCGTTGGATAAAGTGGGTAACACGCTTGTTGGCGTAGCTAGCCCATTGGGTTTTTTGAAGCCGCGATGGGACTCCGAATCGAATGAAGACGAAGTTGTGCCCGACCCGAATGATGGGTCTTCGGATCTAGAAATGGAGCGGGATTTTTTGTACTTGAAGAGCTTATTGGGGATGTTTTTGAGGAGCTTCATTATGGAGGAAACAGAGAGGAGAAGCTGTTGAAAGGAGAATTGAGGAGAAAGAGAGAGGAAGGAGAGGGTTAAATGGAGGGAGGAAGTAGCACTCCATAGTGAGCTTCCAGGAAGTTTCCTTTCCTAGCTGTGACAGAGAAAATAAGGCGTATTTATTTGGCATTCGTTAAAGATTATTTTTAAATTTAGGGTCATTTTACTATTCAGAAATTACCGTTACTTTATCATTTTCTTTCGTTTATTCTGATTGCGTTTCTCTATTCATTTCGGGAGTAGGGTAATCAATTCGGTACAAAATACTCTTGCCGTTACACTGATTAATTTAAATATATCCTCATTCGTTGAAACTATCCTAGTAAACTCTCAATCTCACGTCATACTAACATTTTGATGAGTTGAACACCAAATCGCATGGCACCCCAACACCTTACTCCCCCTCTATTTCTTCTATCACTTGCACCTCCCACCCCACCACAACCATCACCATTAACACCAATATACTCAAATATCGATCATCAATTTAAGTGTTGGAATTCTTATGTCAAACAAAACAAATTTTGAATATAACAACAGAAATACCCGTAGACATAATATAATGTTAATTCTCCAGCGCATAAGAATGAAAAGATATTACTACAGTTTTCTGCCCTTCAAAACAATGAGAGCTATTAACGTAAAGGACGGTTTTGGTGGAAGGGTAGGAGGTACAAGTGATAGAATAATGGAGGGGAGGGGTAAATGGGTCCGGTGGTGAGGTGGCACGTCATGTGGTGTCTACTTCATGTTCATGTGGGATTGGGAGTCCACCTAAGACCGTCCTAACGGAGAAGGGGTATATTTAAACAATTTGTGTAATAGCAAAGGTATTTTTGTACGAAAAATATAACGGAGAGTAAAATTAATCTTTTTCACATAGTAGATGAGCAAATGATCTCGTTTTTTGCTCTTGATCCCTAACGGGAGCCAGAGGCGGATCCAGGATTAGGGGTTACTGGTGCCGACCTAATCGATGTGATCAACTCGAGCGTCGGTTCGGGTTATTCATCCTTTTTATTTATATAGACAAATAGATCAAACGAAAGAAAATATAATAACTATAACTAATTGACACAAAGCATAAAACTTCCAACAATATTTTTAATATCATACATAATCTATTTACAATTGTCCTCGGCGAGCTTTCATATTTTGAAAACGATCAATAATGACATCATTACTTACATTTGTAAATACATCACGCTCTATGTAACAAACTAAACAATCATTTAACTATTGATTACCCATGTTGTTCCGCTCTTCATTATTTATCTGCTTCATGGATGAGAATGCTCTCTCCACAGTTGCGGTAGCAACAGGTAAAATCAGAGTTAACTTGACAAGTAAATAAACATACGAATAAGTCTCCACAAGATTTGTCTCAACCAATGCTTTTGCCAAATCACTAATTCCTTGCAAGTTGGAGAACTTGGGATTGCCAGCTCGCATATGAATTATGAAAGTATCTAGTTGATAACTTAAGTCTCGAATGTGTACTTCATCAAACTCATTTGGGTAACATTTTGCTAAAGTCATTATTCTACCTTTATCAAAATTAGCAAAAGAATTGACTGGATTCAAACTAGTCATCCCAAGAAGCATATCGCTACTCACTACATCAAAAGGGTCCTTAAGCTCTTGAAGTTGCACATCAATTACAACATAAAAGATATCAACACGCAAGTGGTGTGAATAAAAAATATCAGAAGACTTGCGCTTCGACTTTTCAGAAAAATATGATTCATCCATCTTGAGAATCATAATATCATGCATATGACAAAATGAGGAAACATCATCTAGCAAAGATTCCCATCCAGTTTTCCTCATATCTTGAAATCTTTTCTTTGTAATGTTAAGAAACTCCACGTCATTAACAATATCTCAATCTCTCTTTTGTAGGATCTTGTTCAACTCATTTGACATTGCCAAAACTTTCAACATCAAGTGAAGCATAAAAATAAATTTGAATGTTATTATCTCACTCAAAAGATATTTTGCTTGATTTCTCTCATTAGAGGTAGAACCTTCATGTTCAATCACTTCAAGCACACGAATAATAGATGAGAAAATAACAAGAAAGTTATCTAATATTTTGAAATGTGATCCCCAACGAGTATCACCTGGTCTTTGAAGCCTGCGTTCTTGATTTAGTCCTCGTCCGGTATGAATTTCACCGGACTCAAGTAATTACTCCAGATTTTTAGCTTGAAGATGGCAAAGCAAATCTCTGCTCTTAAAAGATACTCCAATAACATTCAACACATTAGTAACATGACAAAAGAAGTCTCCGACATACAAATGCTTTTTAGACATAGCTACAAGTGTTAATTGCAATTGATGAGTAAAGCATGAATGTAATATGCCGATGAGTTATCTTTCATAATTAAAGTTTTAAGACCGCTTATTTCTCCCCTCATGTTACTAGTTCCATCATAATCTTGTCCACGTATTTGGGACAGACTTAGTGAGTGGTCCGAAAGCAAGGAGTAGATTGCTTCTTTCAATGAGCATGTCGATGTATCACTAACATGGACAAGACCAACAAATCTCTCTATCGCTTCACATTTTTATCAACATAACGCAAAACAAGAGCCATTTGTTCTTTGTGTGAGATATCTTTGGACTCATCAACTAATATACCAAAATAATCTCCATTCAAGTCTCCAATTATAGCCTTTAATATTTCTTTTGCACAAGCATTGATAATATCCTTTTGGATCATAAGGCAAGTCAAAGTATCATTTTGTGGAGTATTTTCTAATATTACTTTTTCCACATCCGGATGCTTGTCCCCATGCCATCGTAAGAATCCTAGAAAGAGGCCTTGATTTGTTGAAGATTCACTTTCATCATGGCCCCTAAAAGGCAATCCATACAACAATAGAAGTCTTGCCACATCAATTGATGCTTCTAAACGCATTCGATACTCACTTTTCAACTTCTCGGAGTGCTTATCAAAAATAACTTGAATTGATTGATGATGATTTGATAAATCTAGCATCTTCTTGAAACATTTATCATGGACACTATTAACATCACCAACATGTAAATGCAATCTTTCAAGATCCTTATTCCAAGCCCTAAAACTATTTTTTGTATAAAATTTACCCGCACTTCCATGAATAAATTTATTTTTGAACAAATAATAACATAAGCAAAATACCGCATCTTTCTTCACACTATACTCCAACCATTTAGAAAATTTACCATTGAACCAACTTGGAACAAATTGACGCATTCTTCCTCCTATTTGAGTTTTGGGAAATTGATGCTTGGAAGGTTGACAAGGACCTTGTTGAATATAATGTTACCTTACTTCATCTCGTATTCTAGGGTTGTAGTCAGCAATATGTATTCTTTCTCCTGGATCGCCTTTAAGTGACCCCAAATCGAGTTCATCTATAAGATATGAATGATTGGCATTCGCTTGGATCAATGATTGACAACTAGGACTTGGTTGAGAATGGTCCAACCTCGTGATAAATCTATCCATCTCAATCAATTCCTATAAAATAGAAGTTCATTCCAGTGAGAATTATAGAACAATTTCTACTAGGACATACCATCAATAAGTTTAGTTATTTTAAATAACTTAACGTCTCAACCTTCCCTAATATTTTTGTCGTTGTTAAAATAGAGTTAATTTTTATTGTTTCTTGATCAAAATTACTTGGAATGTTCTTTCTCTTTTAGCCACGATACTAAATTCTATAATCTACAGTGAAACCATTTAAGAGGCATTTGATTTACAAACACAACCAAAGAAATACATAACAAAAAAATTAAAATAGTGACAATAAAATTTAGCAAGAACACTAAAATCCAACTAAATACAAAACAAAAATATAGCAAGAACATATATTTGATGAAAAAAAAATAGCCACACATGGTTAAGAAATAAACATGAGTAGGTGAGGAAACTTTACAACGGTGAGCGTAGTGCAATGACTAGTGAGCAATGAAGGTGTGAAGCATCCGCAAAGGTAAAGCAAAATAAATGCTAACATTAACAGTCTAACGGAGAAGCGAGAAGCAGAAGCAGAAGCAGTGGCGTGAATGAAGGCTAAAGCAACGAGAATTGGAGAAAGGGAAAGGGGAAAGCAGCCTAAGGGACTTGGGGAATTGGGGCTTTGTTTTACCTTTTGAAAATTAGGAAAGATCCTAAAAAATAATTTTAACTTTCTGTTAGGAGTATTAGTTATAAGAGAATATTCTATAAAGAGTACTTTTATTATTATTTTATTTTATTTGTTTATACTTAAACAAACAAACAGAAAAGTAAAAATTTAATATAAAATATAGAAGAGTGTGCTGTAGTATACTTAATTTTCTTAAATTGCAACTAAATGTAAGCCAAAAAATTATTTGCTCCCTAGATTCGAACTCTTGCCCTGCTGAACGAAAAGGCAAACCTTTGTCACTGGCACCTTTCCCACTTTTGTTCTATGGGTAGCACTTTAAATATATATTCTATTTCTTATACATATTTACTTATATACATAAAATTTTCGCCGAAACTTGCGGGTGGCGTACCACCCCGAATCATGTACATAGATCCGCCCCTGACGGGAGCTCCAAGCTGAGGGTAATGTCAAAGCATAATTAAGGAGCAAAGTTGGACTTTCTTTCTAAAAAGAATTGAACACGTGGACTCTACCATTTTGCGATAAAGAAGGAAAATTACGAGACGATTTATTAACCAAGATATGAATGGATCAAAAGTCTGAATAAAAATTAAGTAATTTCAAAGAGTGCAGGGCAAATGGACTTCTTTTTACTAAATGCTAAATACATCTTAAAATAAAAGTAAAATCAATTGACACATTGATTAAACTATAAAACATATCTGTATACGGTCGAAATAGATTTCGGCATTCCTACGTTCGATCGAGTTCGAGTGTTAAGAAGTCGGAATGAGATTTTGGGAGTGAGCTGTGAGGTCGGTACTAACGAACCTCGAGCCCGAAGTTCGCTCGAGGAGGCGGCTCGATAATCCTATCGAGCCCGTGACCGAATCGATCCGCAAGGCACTACTTCGAGGTCGAAAATGTGCGACGCCCATCTCGAAGGTCGAACTCGATCC